AGTGACAACAGAGAGTCAGGATTCTTAGTTTGTAAACATCTTTATCTTGTGCAAGAGGAGTTCATGGACACTGTGAGTTCTACAAGCCCATTCCAGGGTAGCTTGATTATAATATGAGGAGGGGAGAGAGACTGGCTAGAAGCCACTTTGCTCTTTACTATTTTCTATTGCCATGAACTGTTGCTCTCTGCCATATGTCACTCTGCCTGGGAGCCAGCTGAGTATAAACTGAAACCTCCACAAACTGTGAGCTAAATAAACCTTTTTTTTTTTTTTAATGGATCCGGGGATTGAACTCAGACCCTTGTGCTTGCCAGGGAAGCACTTATTCTACTAAGCCATCTCCCTGGCTCTTTTCCTTCATTTTGGATGTCAAGTATTTTGTCCCAGCAATGAGTAAAAAGTAACTGAGACAAGCTATTTAAGAGATGATCAGAAGAAAAGGAACCCAAAAAGTACGCGGAGAGCAAACTTCAAATGCTGCTGAAAGATCAAATATGAAAAGAATGAGAACAACCATCCAGGGCATTTGATAAGGATGCTACTGATATCCTTAGCAAGAGCAATTTCAGTGAGACAGAAACTGGGCTGTAGAGGGCCATGGAAAGGTTTGGGAGGTAAAGGTGTAGACTGAACATGGATGGACACCCACCAGTGCACTCCAGTGTAGGGTTCTTTCTCAAGACTCCAGTCTGCTCTTATGAGGGAAACCAACAAATTGCCAAATCCAGTTGACCTTGTTTTGCCCTCACTTTATTTTGTCCCTCAACAGTATCTGACCCGGATCATTATTTCTTTTTTCTTAAAACACTTTTTCCTTCCTTGGCTTATGTCTTAGTCACTTTATTCAGTGCTGGGATAAAAATATCTGACACCCACAACTTAAAGGAAAGGTTTATTTTGGCTCACAGTTCAGAAGTTTTCAGTCCTTGACTGCTTGGTGCCATGCTACAAGGGTGTGGTACAGAGGGAAGTTACTCACACTGTGACAGCCAGTAACAAAAGAAGGGATGATCTGAGGGGAAGCTATGCTCTTCAAGCCATACCACTTCTTCTCACAAGGCCTCAACTGCTAACATCATATTTAGCTACACTGTCCCATGATTCAATCACTGTTCAAAAGCCCCACTTAAGATGTACCTTGAGACCACAATGCTAAGTGACGTAAAGCAGACAGTTTAAATATTGCATGGTTTAGGGCCAGAGATACAGTTCAGTGGCAAAGTGCCTGCCTGGCAAGTGTAAGGTTCTGAGTTTGATTCATATATGACAAAATAACAGATAATAAGAAGTAGGGAGATAAATCTCAAATGGGAAGAAGATCGAGAGATAGATGGAAAGGGGAGGAGAAGGGGATGAAAAAGAAATAAGCTGTATTATGTACATGTACCAACTCCTCACAAGGAATGTAATCATTTACTGCAAACATGTATTAATAAAAAATAAAAATGGAAAAAGAGTATATTAGGCTTTTAAGGAACAACTACATATAAACATTTAATTATAAACATTTAATATTTAGGCTACCACACTATGTTTACCTCTGATTGCAGGTGCCTGTCATCTCCTTCTCCACTAACGTACATCTAAATGAACTCGGTCTAGAATTTAGATGATCTAATTTACTTCCAAGGTTAGCTTGCTGGCTTGTCCTTCCTTCCTTCCTTCCTTCCTTCCTTCCTTCCTTCCTTCCTTCCTTCCTTTTCTTTCTCTCTCTTCCCCCTTCCCTCCCTTCTTTCCTTTCTCCTTCCTTCCTTCTTCCCTCTTTCCTTCTTCCTCCCTCCTTTCTCCTTCCTTCCTTGCTGGAAATTGAAGCCTTGTACATCCTAAGTACTCATTCTGCCACTTAGCTAAAACACCTGTCTCAAAATAAAAAATCTTAAAAAAAATTTTTTTTATCATTTATTTATTTGGTACAAGATCTCACTGCACAGCTCAGACTTATAGTGATCCTCTTGTCTCAGCCTCCTCAGCAATGGGATTATAGGTGTGCACCACCACAACTGGTTTCAGTAGCTGGCACTCCCCGTCCAGGGTTCCCAGGCTGGCATGGCATACAGTACCGGGGATCAAACCTGGGTCCTTGTGCTTTCCAGGCAGGCACTTAGACCACCCAGCTATATCCCCAATGCTCAAAATAGAAAATCTTCAAGAGCTAGAACATAGTTCAGTGAAAAGGTCCTAGGCAATTTCCAGTAACATAAGAAAAAAAAATCAAAATGATTAGTTTGATCAACTTCAGGAAGACAGTACATTAGAAAAATGCCTTTGCTAGGTCATTACAAAGGTTGGGGATGTTTAAAATATAAATGGACACTTAGAGTGACAGTCCATTGCTTTATTTAATGACAATGTATTAAGTATCCATTGTACGGGCCGGCCAGATAGCTCAGCAGACTAAAGCACTTGCTTAGGCAGGCTCAGGGACCAGGGATCGATCCCTAGTATGCCATGCCAGCCCTACCCCCAAGATGTGTTGAGACTGAGCGTGGTGGTGCACACCTGTAATCCCAGTGCTTGAGAGGCTGAAAACAGGAGGATCACTATGAGTTCAATCTGTGTAGTGAGACCCTGTAGACCCTGTACTAAAATACATAAAAAAAATTTTAACTATACATTGTATGTTAGAAAGTATTCAAAGAGACCAATAAACAAAACTGTATTCCAGTCTTGGATTCTGATAATAAGCACATACATAAATATAATATGAAGGGCTAAGAGCTATGATAAAAAATAAGGTAGGGAAGGAGGACAGAATGTTGAGGCTACTTTTGAGATATTAGAGTTAGCAAATGTTTGACTGAGAAAGTTTTGAGCTGAATGAAGCAACCTGGGTATTGGGCAGATCAGTTATTCAGCTTCAGAGATTAAGAAAACACATTTTCAGACTTTGCTGACTTCACCAAACTGGCCTTCCACTAAAGTGATGATTAACTAAACACTTCTATTTATTTTATCTTGAGTATTTGACCATGTGTAATTGGTCCCGTGATTAGGCAGACTACACATAATTTCCCTACTGATCATTAACTAACCCTGTGTTTAGTTATTAACCAAAGACCTGCTCTTTCTCTTGTTCATGGGATCTTTTTAAATATTTCTCCTTGAGCCTCAGCTGGATTTTATCTCTTCAAAATGTTAAACATGTTATCTCAAATATAATGGCTCACTTAAGTAACTAAAGACAGGATGCAGCCTACGCATTAATTCCCCTTACTCTAACTTTGGGGTTAGGACTAAAAGAGAAAACACCTAAATAAGTAGGTAAATAAATAAATTTATTATTCTCCATCAGAAAATGATTAAGTATCACCTTTATTCTTGGAAAAGGTATACTCTCATAAAAATAAGAACTACTAGGGTGTAGTTCAGTGGTAGAGGGCTTGTCCAGCATGTTCAAAGCCCTGGGTTTGACCACAGCACTGAAAACAAAATTAATAATAAGAATTAAAAAAAAAAAAAGAAAAGGCCAGCCAAATAGCTCAGCAGATTAAAGCACCTGCAAGCAGATGCAGGGGCCTGGGGTTCGATCCTGGGCCTGCTCTGAGACAGCAATTGAGACTGGGCATGGTGGCATTCTCCTGTAATCTCAGCTCTTGGGAGGCTGTAAGCAGGCGGATCACTATGAGTCTGATCTAGTAGTGAGACCCTGAACACCCTGTAGACCCTTCCCTAAAATAAAAAAAAGTACAAAAAAGAAATAATAAAATATCAAGACATATGGCAAGATAGGAATCTCATAATCTCAGCAGAGAACTAGAGAATGTAAAGAAAAAAAGAACACAAAACACGAAGTGCTCACAAGGTGGGAATGCTCAGTGATGGTCCTGCCTTCTCTTTGCCGCCTTCTATCTCCTACTGCTCCTGACCAAGGCAACGGTTTTCCAATGTATGAGGCATCAGAGAAGTACAAACGTGTCCTAGGTCCTCCCTGACCTTGAAGGGCTAGGGCCAGAATGTTGGCTGTCCTTGTAGCCCCTCTATCTCTCTAATTTTTGGTCTGCAAACTTTAGTTGTTAACCCTCCAGAAGAGAAGCTTAATGATATTATTACCCTGTAACAGAGGCAGGTGAGCTTAACACCACTGTCTGTCTGAATATCAAACGCCTTAGACATAACATGGAACTGGTATTTTCCAACAACCATGGATATTCTAAACTTTAAATCCCTATAGAATGAAAAAATAATACATTTTTACACAAAAATTTAGAAATCCAACCATATATAACATTGTAGCAGGACCATACATACATATATATATATACACACACACACACAATAGGTAGGATAGATATATAGCTACTTTCTCTTCAATGAGAAGAAAGATTTGTACTAATATTGTTTAGATAAGATAAATGTCTGCATCTTGTACTCTGAATAACTACTATGAAGACAAAAATGTGCAATGCATTATTATAACTGTCCTACTAACCTGTTTTGAAACTGTCTTATTGCTATTTCTTTCTCATTAAAATTAATAAAAAATTAAAAAAGAAAAATACAATTATTATCTAAAATTCAGGAAAACTGTTGTAAATTCTAAGAATTAAACATTACTAGAAAGTAAAACTTGAAAATAAAAAATGAAGAACAAATGCCAGGTATGGTTGCACATGCCTGCAATCCCAGCACTTGGGAGGCTGAGGCAGGGGGACCACAGTGAGTTCAAAGCCATTTTGAGTTATATATAGCCTGCATTATATAGTAAGACCCTGCATCAAAAAACAAACAAAAAATGATATACTTCAATGAACTTAGATCTGTAAGCAAAAGGTTAAGAGTAAAAATACAGTGTTTACAGGGTCGTGGAATTTGTAGGCAATACAAATTTAGTTGTAGGAATCAGTGGAACTGGGAAGTACATAACAAAACTTCATAGTTAACTGATTGAGACTGGCTTTCTATTTGCACAAACACAGCCTAAAGAGAAACTTTGGTAAAGAAATAAAATGTAATTAGAATTTGCTTGAAAAATAATATTTTCTTAACTTTTAACATACCTGAGAAATATGATTAAAATATTGCACAGCTGTCTCCACAGGGCTTTTGAAGAACATCTTCTCCTGAGGTTTCAACTACATAGAGAATTAAGACCCATAGTAAGAACACCCACAGTGAAATAAAATATTGATATTGGAATGAAATAAAATAATTCTTCTATCTTTTACAATCTCTATCTGCAAATTTGTTGATCCTTTTCTTTCCTTTGACTATCATCAATAAAATCATCATCTTATAGGTACTGAGGATTTAACCCAGAGCCTTCACACTAGGTTATATCCCCAGCCTCCCTCCTTTGGCACTGGGATCAAACTCAGGACCTTGTGCTTGCCAGGTGCATGTGCTGCCGCCCCAGCCCTTTTAAAATTCATTTTATTTTTACTGTTGTTATCATCATCATCATCAACATCATCGTCATCATCGTCATCATTATCGACACAGGGTTTCACTGAGTTGTTTAGGCTGTGCTCAAACTTTCAGCCATCATATATCAGCCTCCCAGAATGCTGGGATTACAGGCATATACTACTATATCTGTTTTGAAAATTCACCATATATACCTTCTGTATATTTTCTACAGGCCAGGAAAGAGGTAAAATGTTTGTGGCAAGGGGAAACTTACATTGTCAGAAAGAGCCAGATGTTTGCAAGGAATTCCACAAATAGCACATTTCTCTGGGAGAAAAATGGGAAAAAGTGTTCGGTTTTCTTCAGTATGAAGTAAGATTTTTGTAAAGTAGATGTTAATAAGCAAGCCAGAAAAAGAAAAAAAGACTTCTTCCTAAAGGTAGGATGTTATTGTTATACCAGGACATCAATTTAAGCTCTGGTCTCTAAATCAATAATTCAAGAATTCCCCATATTTCTAAATTAATAAGTTGTAATATAAGTAAGGCTTTCTCACTTTACCTCATCTTCCTATATTTTTAAAAAGAATTCCTGGCTTTCTTCTGAATCTGAAGAGATAATTCTATTTTTTATTTTTTTTTTATTTTTTTTTTATTTTTTTTTGCGGAACTGGGGATTGAACTCAGGCCCTTGCGCTTGCCAGGGAAGCGCTTATTCCACTGAGCCATCTCCCCAGCCCCCAATTCTATTTTTTAAATATTTTTCTATGCATTACATAATTCATTCAAAATAGTTTATTTTATGGAAAAAAGGTAAAAAAAATCATAAAAATAGGAGAGTAACAATAGTTAATACATTACATGTTGTTATCCTAAAAGTAGTTGCTCAGGGTACAAGATATGGACATAATTTTTTTTCTTAAATTGATATAAAAACAAGACTAATGGATTAAGAGATGCTAATAGCATAACTGACTTGCATTTCTACCTTTTCTCTACTATCATTTCCTCTTTTATACATCCTAATTCTTTTTTCCTTTTAAAATATTTTTCCCATTTCATAAGATCTATTGTATACCTTAAACCTTATTTACTCTTTCAGTTTTTTTTTTCCAGGTACTGGGGATCCAACTCAGGAACTTGCACTTGCCAGGTAGGTGCTTATGCTACTGAGCTATATCCCCAGCCCCTCTTTCAGTTTCTTACACCAAGAAGATATTATGATGTTTACACATGTGAATCTGATTTATTTTCACTTATGAATATGGACTTAAGTTGCTTATATTTACCTATAAAAGTCTCAAATTTATCCTTATTTATGGCTGAATAGTACTCCATTGTATAAAAAGACCACATATTCTTTATCCATTTCTCATTTGATTGGCATTTGGGTTGTTTCCAAGATTTAGCTATGACAAACTGCCATTGTAAACATAAGGGCACAAATATCACTGTTCTATGTTGTTTTTAATTCTCCTGGGAAGTTACCCAGAAGAGGAAAGCTGGGTAGAATGGGACTCTAATCTCAGGGTTTTTTTTAGGAATCTCTACATTTATTTCCACAGTGGTTGCACTAATCCATACTCCCACCAAAAGTGGGGAAGGCTCATTGAAGGGATCATTCTAAATACCCAACAGGAATACTAGAGTATATTTATAAGGGGACTGGCAAGAGTACAAGAATATCAGTGATTTTGGGGTGATCTTTACAATGCATAGTAATTACATTGTGGGGATTTGGTACATTTACTGTACATGTTGCATCCTGATCATTGTTACTTCCTTTCCTCCCTCCTCATTTTCCCTCTTTCCTACAATCCCTTCTCATCTCTCCAAAGTCTACCTCCCTGCTTTCTATCACCTCTCTCTTATTTTGCTTTTTTATTTACAGTCTGGGTTTCTCATGTAAGAGAAACTATGCAGTATTTTTCCTCCTGTATCTGACTTGTTTCACTAAACATTGTGGTCTCAAAATTCACCCATTTTCCTATAAATGATTAAAGTACATCCTTCTTTAGTTAAGTAGTGTTTCATTGTATATGAACACCACCCTTTCTTTTATCCATTCATTCACTGATGGGCATATAAGTTATTTTTGTAAGTTAGCTAGTGTGAATTATGCTGCTGTAAACATGACTATACATATATCATCATAGTATGACAACTCTTTCAGAAAGATACTTAGAAGAGGAACAGCTGGGTAAAAAAAAATTTTTATTTTTAGTTATTTGAGGAATCTGATCTCCATTCTGGTTTACTAATTTACATTCCCACTAACAATGTATAAAGCTTTCTTTTTCCCCACAACTTTGCCTAACCTAAGTTGGTGTTTTAAGGGTTTTTTTTTTTTTTTCCAATTTATGTATTTGGTACAGGGTCTCACTACACAGCTTGGACTGGTAGTGATCCTCCTATTTTCAGCCTCCCTAGTGCCAGGATTACAGGGTGTGCCACCACGCCCTGACTCAGTTGCCAGCTCAGCAGGCCCAGGGGCAGGGCCAGCACAGCATGTGGTACTCAGGGTCAAACCCTGGTTTATCTCCCCAGCCCTTTGAGTTCTTGACAATAGTCATTCTTACAGGAGTAAAACAGAATGTCAATGTTGTTTTGATTTGCATTACCGTAATAGCCAACGATGGTTAACATTATAAGTACATTTCATGTACTTATTTGTCATTTGTACACTTTCTTTTGAGAAGTGTCTACTCGTTTCAATTATTCATTGTTATGATCTATATCTAGATGCTTTCAAAGCCTCATGCACTTGTAAATGGAGATTTAGGAAGGCAAGTGGATCATGGGGATGTGATACTGATCAGCTGATTAGTGCAAGGATGAGTTTATAGCTAAATGTGACTTGGGAGGTAAAGCCTTGTTGGAGGTGGGTCACTGGGAGCATAGTTTGGAAGGACCTATCCCCTTCCCTCCTTTCTCTGCTTCCTACCTGCCATGCCATTAGCTGCTTGTGCTCTGCCATGCTATCCTAGCTTGGAGTACACTGACTATAGATTGAAGCCTCTAATAACTATGAGCCAAAATAAACATTTTCTCCTTTAAGTTGTAAGTGTTGGCTATTGTGTCTCAACAAGAAAGTAATTAGGATACCCATTCTTGATCAGGTTTCTTTGGGAGGGTTCTAATATTTTTGAGTACTTTATATATTCTAGATAGTAGTGCTGTACCTGAGGAGTAATTAACAAATTTTGTTTTCCATTTTGTAGTTTATCTCTTCATTCTGTTCACTGTGCCCTTTGTTGTACAGAAGCGTTCTAATTTGATATAGTCCCATTGGTTGATTCTTGGTATTTCTTGTGCAATTTGGTTTTCGTTCAGAAAGTCCTTACCTCTAGCTATGTCTTTAAGAGTTATACCTATTTTGTCTTCCAACAGAGTGATCACTTGTTTTGTATCTAAGCTGCTCAATTTTGATTTTATTATAAGGTGAGAGAAATGGGTATAGATGTATTCTTCTTCAAGTAGATAACCAAATTTCCCAGCATCATTTGTTAAAAAGGGTATCTTTTCTCCAGCATATATTTTTGGCACTTTGTCAAAGATCTGATGGCTGAAAGTGGGTAAGATTGTTTCTGCATCCCCAGTTCTATTCTATTGGTCAACACATAATTTGTTGCATTTATTTCCATGCTGTTTTTATTTCTGTAGTTTTGTAATGTAACTTCAAATCTAAGATTATAATGTCTCCTGCTTGCTTTTTTTTTCTCAGAACTGATTTGGCTAACCTGTGTCTCTTCCAGTTCCATGTAAGTTTTAGGATTTTTTTTCTAATTCTGTGATGAACACTTGGTATTTTTATTGGGCTTGCATTAAATCTATTTATCATTTTTGGTAATATGACCACTTTAAATTTTTGCTCTGCCTCTCCCAGAGCAGGAGATGTCTTTCCATTTTCTAATGTTCTCTTCAATTTTTTTAAAGAGTACTATAGTTTTTACTGTAGAACTCTTTCACTTCCTTGGTGAGGCTAATTCCTAGTTATTTAATTTTTTTAAAGCTAATGTGAATGAGACAATTCTGATTTCTTGGTGATTTTATTACTGGTACACCAGACTCCTGTTGACTTTGTGTCCTTTTATTCACTGAATTAGGATTTTGTATTTTGTTTTGGGGGTTTTGTTGTAGTTGTTTTAGCAGTACTTGGGAATTCCTAGGGTCTTTGTACTGAGCTACATCCCCAGCTTTTAATTTTTTTCTTTTCTTTTTTTTTTTTTTTTTGAGTTTGACAAAATTTATTGGTTATTTTAGTAAAGACATTCATCTCAGTCATTTCTCTCTCATCTTGACCTTACATTAGTATTTCATTTGGGTCAAGAAAAGAGTATGTAGGAGAGGGATGTTATGTTAACAAACAGTAAAATG